TCTTTCTACAAATATTATGTCATTAATAAAGCAATATAAAATGAAGTTTGTTAAAGTGACTACTCAAAATAAATACATATTGGATTTGATTCTCTCTTATGTGTGAGAATTATTAACATTTTCTCTTAAATGATTGAAATATTTTGAATTGTTACACTCAAAAATTGCAAATTTTTCCGATAAAAATGAAGTCAAATGTATTTTAATATTCAACAAAATTAAAGAAAGAGTAGAACTTGAAATTAAAAAAAAAAGAATTAAGTGTTTAAGATGAAAAATAGGACTTTTCTACCGATGTAATGAACAAAATATTATTGATTATGTATTTTATCAATAACATCACCAAAACTCATGGAGATATATGTAGGAATGATAATGACAAAAAAAATATAGATAAAGATATTTTAATGACATTGTTATCAAATTATCATCCATGCATGTTTTTAACGTGCAATTTTTTTCACAATTTATCATCTATTTACATTTACATAATATATATATATATATATATATATATATATATATATATATATATATAAATTAGAACAATAATACTATTTATTTTTTTCAATTAACAGTATTAGTCTAATACACTTATCAAGTTATTAATATTCATCAATCAACCATTACTTATTTCCTAATTACACGAAAATTCAATTTAATTAATATTTAATCAATCTATGTTCTGAAGTTATCAACACTCAAACTACATATAATCAATCTAACAAGGCTCCAAACAAACCAATAAATATAAAGGAACAAGATATTTAATGAGACTCTATGGTTTAAAAAACTAAACGTTGCAAAAGTACCTATATCTAATAAAAATGGAGATCCAAGAATAAAAAGCCTTCTAGACTCTTTTGTTAGATCATCTAAAGAAAATTAAACTAATAGAGTTAAATATAATTTATGTAAAAAAATATCATGCTTTTGATTTTCATAAAAATGATGAAGTAATCTAATAAATAATTTGTTGCTTCAATGTGGAAAATTTTCCAAAATGTTTGTTGATTCTTCCCAAAAAAGTATTACCTTACAAGAAATGAGAAAATAAGCTAAAAAAAGCAATAGAGCTCTTTTTTATGTTCACTTTGATTTATTAATTAGACCTCTAAGTTTGTTGAGGGGGAGATATTTCTATTTTTCATAAGTATCTTATTGGAATTATAATTGTTAGGGATAGTTGGAGTTAGTAAAAAACAAATTTTGTCTAATAATTTAAATCAAAGTGTAAATTTGATAATTGATTGTTAGACTTCAATGCAAAACTTCAATTATTTTTGTCTTATTGTATATTATATTGATGGAAAAAAGGGAAAATAATTGGTAGAAATATTGAAAATGCTTGAAAAATTGGCTAATAAGTAAAATTTTCACTATCGTTGATAATGCTAATTCAAATGATATTGCAATAGTTTCCTGAAAAAAAAAAAAGGATTGCATTAAAAGGAAAACACTTATCTATTAGATATTTTGTACATATATTTAAATCGTATGGTCAATGAGTTGAAAAAATATCATTTTTTTAATAAACAAATTAAAAATACAATTAGAAAATTTCATGCATGACCTATTCGCATGGTTAGATTCATATATAAAGAGATTAGGATGGTTGAAAAATATAGTGTAAACTAGGATGTTTCCACTAAGTAGAACTTCACCTACGTAATGTTTAAAAATGTATTGAAATTATAAATAAAATCATTTCTAAAAGAAGTTACTAACAAAAATTATTTAAAAATAAAAATAATAATTTTATTATAAATTCCAATCATAAATGACTTAAAATTAGAAGAAAATTTATAATCAAACAACTTTTGTTAACATCTGATATGAAAAGTTTGTTGAATATATGATATTAAATGATGGTATTCCAAATCATAATGATACGAATAATAAAAGATACTTCATTAAATTGCTTAGAATAATTTTTTATATCAGTAAAAAATATCATAGACTAATTTTGCATTGCAAAAATAGATAAGTTCTTCCCGAAAAAGGGACTTAAATATCAAAATTAAATATGATAATAGTACTGGGGGACGTTAAGAATATTAACATTTTTTTTCTCTTAATTCTCAGAGTAAGTTTGAATTTGTTAACTGACACTTAAAGAAATTTCATGAAATAAAAATTACTTATAATAGGTTTCCTTATCTGCCAAATTTTTATGATAAAATATTTAATAATTTTATAATAAATTAACTAAAAAAATAACCTAAATCAAATTGCAAAACATTAGTTCTGTGATTTGAAAATTATTTTAAAATTAAAATAAAATCAAAACGTATTTATGGGTGATTTATTAATACAAAATTGACCTATTCCACACAACAAACACCCTTATAATCCATCATAATATGATTGCAATAATCCTTGACAATGTCCACATACATGTCTATAATTTCTTAAATGTCGGAAGGCCTCACACCTAAAATATCAAACTTCAGATAATTCAACTCATACCAGAAATGCATTCTCAACTACACATCCAACGAAATCAAAGCAAAATTAAAACACGATTGCAACAATTTATCCAACCCATCTAGTGGTCATACAAGAATTGCATGGGATGAACAGTCATATATATAGAGGGAGAAGAATTCAGAATGAATGTATTACAAAGTTGTTGAAGCGATACTTATTGCGGAGAAGCATGCTTCCGATAGTTGGCCATTATGAGGTGGTATGGTCCAGGTGAGAAGATGAAAGGTTGCCTAATGATTAGTTGGTCATTATGAGAGTAGGTAAGGCCATGAGAAGATGGAAGGTCGCCTAATGGTAGAGAACAAAAAAAAAACATTTAAAAGGACTCTAGATCTAAATGGTCTCTCTACTTGTGAGAAAAGGCTTTGGTTTGTATTTTACCCAATCAGTCATTGGTCTACAGTAAACATACCATACTTCAAAGATGCCATCCACAATTATCACAAATTTCTTTTGTTGGAATATATCACATAAACACCTTAGGTAAGCATTCATGTTTTCATTCTCATCTTTGATTTTGATGGCATAGAATGTGTAATGAAAAACCAAGATGACCCATCCATTTTAACCCAGCTAAGCCTGCCGTTAATTTTACAAGTTTGAGTTTTGAAAATTACACCCTGGTATGTTTTGGGGACAGATTTGAGTTATATTTTTATGATTTAGCTATAAATAATGTTAAGACTGATAGATTGTATCACCAATCCTAGTAGACCCAATCTAGTCCTATAAATTATCAAGTCTTGATCAAAGCGGGTTAAAGTCCAAACAATATATATTGGCTGGACAGAATTTGGGTCAAGAAGGGATAAAGATAACCACATTTCAACCCATCCCATGAACATTAGTAGTAATAAGCAGTTTATACAGCTTTTAACTCCAACCACCACAAACATTATATACACTATTAAGGATCCCATATAAATTAGAAATATGGCCAAAATAATCCCTATAAGACTTGAAAAATTCTCTGCCTCTTGAGCAACCTTTTGTGTTTTAAGGCCTAATCCATTTCTATTAAGGTATCGATTATCTAATCCCACGAACTTCATATTTCAGATGATCATTTATGGGCGAGAGGGAGGTGTGGGGGTGCGTGAATAATATCCTATACAGGCCAAGGATTTGGCCAATGTAATCCTTATAATAAAACTTACATAATCGTACCCTTGATGAGCTAGCTTTTGGTATAAAGCCAAGCCTAATCCATTTCTATATATAACTTCCTTGTATACAAAAAAGACATGCTCAATAACTGCATGAATGGACAACTAAATTTTAGTTTACAATGAACCAAGAGACTATAAGCACCAAAATTGTATCTGCTAACAAGTAGAAAACTCTAGAGAGCCCTTCAATGCTAGACAACATGAACGAAAAACATTATTATTGTACCAGGGTTTAGAAGCCAAACCACACTGCAATAATGAATACAAGAGTTCATCACTCCAAATACAACAGGGTAGCAGAATTGAGCAAATGAAGTTTCTAGTTCCAGCACAAAATACGGTTGTCAAACTGATTACTCACTTAAACTTGACATTTCTATGCCTACAATCGCCATAAAATATGGAGTTCAAATTATCCTGGGGAGTATTATTCTTCAAAATTGTTTCTCTGTATTGCTTCTAGTAAGTACTACAATAGATTCATTAACATTGTCAAAATTAACTATATCCTATCGACAAGAATCAAATCTAAAAGTGATTCTACGTATCCTGATAGAGCAGAAAATCATAGTTGGTACTGTATTTTTTTTCATATGACCCTATGTATTAAGTGATATCCGGATGATATCATAAATTAGAGAGGTACATATACATTTGAGTATACAAGTAAGACCCAACCTCGAAGCAGTTGTAGCACAAGAAATCTTGAGATTGACTACTCTTTCCCAAACCAAAAACAATCCCAAGACTTCCAAGGTGCCAAAAACCAACAGCTGCAGTGTGAACATCGTATAATATAAATGATGATTCACATACAATTTTCTAATGCTAGCAATTCAATTAACAATGTCAGTATGTATAAGCAGCAAAATAGAGGCCTCGCATAGACATCTCAGCATAAATTAATAATACCCGATGACTGAGCAGAGATCATCATAATAATCAGAGGAACAAACTGAAATCTCCAGTAAAACCAACCGCAGGAAAATCACAACTCATTTATAACACTCCATTTAATTTCCTCAATAACCCAGAGCCAGAAGCACCACATCATATTGAAGTTGCAAGATTATAATCAAGCAAGGGCAGACACACAAGCACACACATCTGAAGCACAGCACAATTCCATCAAGAAACAAAGTCAATACAGCTACCTAATCACTCGGTAGGAAAAAATAAATAAACATGTGTATAACCTAGAACAAGCAAAAAGAAAAGAAAAAAAAATTGGCAATGCAGTCATGAAGTTTCTATTATACAAACATGAATTCTGCTTACAGTATGAAGACCTACAGTAATAATACACAGAAGCAACGCTTATCCTCTTCCCCATCATCATCATCACTTGGAAACCAAGAGAATCTCAGGCTTTTTGACCTTGGTGGGTGTGTTGGCATTGGAGTTGGAACCACTATTAGCCTTGGCAGCCTCTCTGGTCCTCACATCGAGCTGAATGAGACTCCTGGTGGCGAGAATGGCTTGAGGCACCAAATCGTGCGAGGCACGCGCGTACAAGCAGCGAACCGCGAAGGAGGCCGCGTCCTTCACGTCCTGAGAGTTCAACGGCCCCAAGAGGCAGTGTCCGAGGATTCTGAGCGAGGGTTGGAGAATCTCCCAGGGGAGAGGGATTCTCTCGCCTTTGCCGTCGCAAATCTGGTTATATTCGGGAATTAGGGCATCATCGAATTGGGTGCGGCAAGGGCAGGGGGCGGCGCCGGCCCAGGCTGCGGCAAATTGGCAGAAGTCGAGCTTGGACCAGGCGGGCATGTGGGAGATCTGGGAGAAGAAGGAGTGGAGGGAGACGCCGACGATGGAGGGGCGTTTGGTGGATTTGACGCCGAGTTGGGGTTCCAAGGGAGGGGAGATGAGGCCGACGGAGGGAGGGGAGAGGGATTGGGGTTTGCGGAGAGGAGCGTGGTAGATGGAGGGCTGGGAGAGGTCGGGGATGGTTACGAGGAGGGGTTTTCCGTTGCGGGATTTGGTCTCGGCGGCGTAGAGGGCGAGGAGGACGGCTTCGAAGCCGGCGAGGGAGGGTGGCTCAGGGGAGTGGATACGGGAGAGGTAGAGGCCCACTAGGAGGGGAACGAAGGAGAGGACAACGAGGCGGAGGTGGGGGTCGGCGGAGAGGAAGGTGTCGTAAAGCCAGTGGCAGAGGGGGTCGGAGTGGGAGCCAGAGAGGGAGGCGGAGACGGCGGCGTAGGCGGCGGGGGAGGAGAGAAGGGAGAGGGCGGGGCGGTCGGAGTCGGCGAGAGAGGAGAGGGGGTCGTGGGAGGAGGATGGGAGGATGGCGGCGAGCGCGTGGATGCGGGAACGGGCCTTTGACACGGATTCCCACCACGAATGCATTGGGTCGGAAGTTGTTTTCTTGGGATCGGTGCTGTTGGGTGTAGGCATGGACGAAGACGGCGACGATGAATCGCTGCGGTGGAACTCCATGCTCCTCTCTCTCTCTCTCTCAGTCACTCTCCTACTGCTCTTTTGCTTCTCTCTCTACAAAACTACTGCCACACTAACACCGCTGCTTCCATTTATTTAATACCACTCCAATCAAATTCCTCATCTTCTTAACTTCCCTTTTGCTTCTTCACCCTTCTTACTTGCTCTACACCAAACATGTAAACTATCCTTCTCTTCTCCATTTCCTTTTATCTTTCTAATCCCATTATTCCCCTTCCTTGCAATCTCTTAACACCTTTCACCGGAATTCAATTAATCATTTCTTATTAAATAAATAGAACAATCCTTTAGTTATTTTTCACAAAAAATTGGCTACCAATATGTTCCTTAGTTTTTCATTTCAAGATAGAAAGATTTATAATTTGGCAAGAAAATTAATTCCGTTCCATCTAGATTTATTTGGTTAAATGTTGCTTTCTACACGAGTTTTTGTTTTTTTAGATTTTAGTATAATAAGTTCTAAATTTTGTAAGATGTTCCTTGTTTTTAAAAATATTTATTTTCATTTTTTTAAACTTAAACAATAAATAGGTAAAAGGTTAAAAAATAGCCGTGATAAAAGAATTCTCAAGAAAATTTGAAACTTAACTATTAAAAATGATCTGTAGGTTTTTATCTCAACAAATAGATAAAAAAGATTTATCGAGAGTAATAATATATATATATATATATATATATATATATATATTAGTTCAAAATTCTAAAAATTTAAGATATTTTATGTTTTTGAAAATATTTATTTTGATTTTTTTTAAACTAAAACATTAAATAAAATAATCAATTATGTGTTTCATTGTATAATTTAATTATTATACTTATTTAATATTTTATTAAATAATTCTGTATGCTTTCTATTATTTTTTGATATATTTATAAATACATTTTTATTATTAAGTATTATATAATAAAAAAAAATTGATTTTTTTTATTTCACTCTCTTTCCTTTCTTTTTCTCCTCTCCTCTCTTGTTTCTTTTGCTCTTGTTTTCTTTATTTTGCAGTGGTGATCTATGTGCTCTCATGGTCATCAGCAAAGATACTAAGATGAAAGAGCTCTGTTGTGCCACTTTATTTTTTTTTTCTTTACCTTAATGTTCTTTTTCTCTATTTCTTGATCATGCTAGATTTGTCTAAGAAAATAAATTGGACCCAGCAAATAGATGAGATATCCGCACACAACTTCTTGTATCTACACTTAAGCGAAATCTTGCAATTGCTCTTGTTTCTCCACTTTTAAATATTTTAAATTATCACTTCTAGAGTCGTTCTATGATCACTATCTTAAATGCAAAGATCAAAGTGGAATTCATTTTGGAAACCGCACTTCAATCTAACCAAAACGATCTCACATATATTACCTTGTTTAGATGTAACAGCATGGTGGTTTCTTGTATTGTCTATTTTGTTTCCCTCTCGATCCGACAGAATATTATCTGGATGGATCAAGCTGCTGAGATATGGAACAACTTAATAATCGCTTGGTTCAAGGGAATCGTTCTCACATTTTTGTTTTACAAGCGGAGGCTGCTACTCTACATCAAGGAGATCTCTCGATTTCTAACTATTTTACGAAGCCAAGAGTCATATGGGATGAACTTGAAAACTTTCGGCCAAATCCCACGTGCACGTGTAATGCGAAATGAACTTGTAATCTTACCTTCATTCTAGCTCAGAGGGAATTAGAAGATTATGCAATGCAGTTCTTGTAAGGATTGAATGATTATTTCAGTAATATCAAGTCCCATGTTTTTCTGATAGAGTCAATGTTGCCAATAGACAAGATTTTCTCTTATGTGGTCCAGTAAGAACGTCAGTTATCTACAGAAAACATTGTTATTGTGACTAAAAGTAATGGACAAGTTCCTTCTATCACCATGAATAATAGTTGTGTTAACACTAATGACAATAATGTCATTGGTCACTCCAACACTTGCACTTACTGTAATCGAGTTGGTCACACCGAGACTACCTGTTTTCACATACATGGTTTTCCTAACCAAGATAACAAGAATGCCAAGAATTCTAGCTCTAAAAAATTATGCACACATTGTAATAGGACTGATCATACCATTGAAGTTTGCTATAAAAAACATAGGCATTCACCGGGTCATAAACTCTATACTAGAAAACAAGGACACAATATCACGACTTCAGATGATCCTAACAATGACAAGGACAATCACAACAATGAAGGAATTGGGATAACACCTCAACAATATCAAGCTCTTGGAGAAATCTTTAAAGTTATGTCTGCTGACAACTCTGAAATACATATAAACCAAATTTGAATCATCTTTGCAGATCAGTCAAACATTGGTAATATTCATTCTACTTTGAAATCTTAAATTTTTCATCAGAATTGGATCCTTGATTCATGAACCACTGATCATATATGTGTATCATTAAATAATTTCTCATCCTATAAACATATCCAACCTATTAACATTAGTCTCCCTAATAGAAACATTGTTATTGTCACTTATGTCAGAACTGTTGTTTTCAATAATAAATTTTAGCTCTCTAATGTTTATATATTCCTTAATTTTCTTTTAATCTTATATTTATATCTAAGGTTATATCTTCCCTTAATTGTAAATTAATTTTTTCTTCCTTTGGTTGTGTCATATTGGACATGAAAATCAAAGAGAAGATTGGTTTGATATTAGATTACTAGTCAGATTATATGTTCTTAATATTTCTGATTATGCTCATGATAACTTTTTGTGTAGTTAATATTGTCAATCTTTGACACTCACACATAGGATATCCTCCCAATATATAGTTATTATCTTGATTCTACATGTGATGTTTGTTATTATCACAACATGTCTAAAACAAATAAAATCTTTAATCTTGTTTACATACATAAGAACCATATAATGTTTTGATGAATGATTTTAGATATTTTCTTATTATCGTTAATAATTATTCTCGCTTTACTTGACTTATTCTATGACAACTAATATGGTTGAGACATATTACTTATACCCACGTTAAAACTCAATTTAAAACTATTATTAAAACCATTCGCCCTCTATTTCTATTTTTGTTTTCTTTGTCTTGCGGTGGTGATATCTGTGCTCTCATGCCAGAGGTGAAAATGCTAGGAGGTGTCCTTCTTACTTGTTGCCTCATGTTTCCTCTCAATTTCATTTATGGCTTGTATTCCATAGGCAGGTACTAAGTAGGGCACATGCGCCTAGTGTCTACGTTAGGTTTTGGTTTATCTTGTGCCATTTTTAATGCAAGAAAACCTCGGCAAGATTCCAATATCCGTTTGGTCTCTAGAGCTAATGTTGAACCTTAGTCTTGATTTGATTAGGTTATTTATTTCCTGCTGCATAAGATCCAACTCATGAACGAGCTTCTGAGTTGAGATTGATGCAGGGCCCAAGTAGGTGGCTTGGTTATGTTGCAGCCTGAAGTTGGAGGTTTTAGTCAGAATTTTTACTTTGCAGGAATAGACAAAGTGAGATCCAGGAAGCCAGTGATTGCAGGAGACACGCTAGTTATGAGAATGACACTTACTAAACTGCAAAAGCGATTTGGAATATGTTGGAGGGGAAGTTGTGTGAGGTGCCGATATCATAATATTTAATGCAGCCAAGATTAGAACATAGAATTTGAAACTTCTCTAGGGAGAAATTTGGCTCTATAGGACAATGATTCAAGTTGTCTCCCTAGTGTACATAATTTTGTTTACAAGCCAAGAGCACCAATGGGTGTCTTGGCCTGTCCAGCCTCAAAGTAGAAAATCAGCATAGCCAACATTGCAATCCTAGCATGCTTAATCTCAGCCAATTTCAGTCTCTCTAGCTTTTCTGCATCTGGAATGTAAACACCGCCCTTGATTGTCCCAGCAAATCCCAAAGGGTCAAAGAATTTGCCCCCAGGGTAGCCTTGATCACCAGTAGAGTTGCCGAAGTTCTCAGCAGTTCTTGACCATGGGGTGGCCCATTCCACTGACTGAGAATCTTGGTTGAAGAAGTCCACCCATCTCTTGCTCTCAACCCATCCCATTAGAAGCAACTGGGTACCCAAAAGAGAACCAAACGAAAAAGGAGCAATTGCATTAGGATCAGCTCCAGCCTCAAACCATGGAACTCCACTCCACGCTTGCCCAATGAAGATGCCTACAACTGCAGCCATCGCCCACCTCCCATGAATGAGTTCAGCTTCTCTATACCATTTGAGGAATGCTGGGTCCTTCCCTAGTCCTAGAGGGTCAAAACCATAGTCACCTGGTAGCCTGCAATTGCGACATTGAACAGAAAATGAATCCACCAAACCCTGAACATTAGAGAGACTGTTGGGGAGTTTAAGGAATACTTAGCATTGGAAGGGTTAACAAACTAGGATAATCAAGAGAACTGAGCACCACTTGCTAGGTAAAAACCTTAAGACCAAAGTGAGATCGGCCACTCATATTTGAATTTTCAAGGAAAAGAATGTTGACACTTTTTATAATACTCTTTCAACTGTACATTAAATGAGTCTTTTTCTTCGATTTATAGACTTATTAAACATGGTGATTGTCTATAAATTTCAATCAATAATTTAAAAGAGATGCTAGAACGAGGGTCAGAATATCTCTTTCCATCAAAGAATGTAAGAAAGAAAAGAGAAATTGTGCACGGAGATGGGTGCACTTACGAGCCATCAAGCCATTCTGGGTCAATGAAATTCCCACCACTTTTTACAGCAGGGATCCATGACTTCTTTGGTGCAGCAGCAACTGCCACAATAACTCTTTTAGGAGTAACAGCAGCACCAACTTTTGCTCCAGTGCCAGCAGCAAGCAGTGCCTGACTCCTCTTTCCTCCACATAAGAAGTGAGATCCAAACCTGTTCAACACAGCACCAGATGTTGCAACTGCCATCTCTCTTTTACCTTACTATAGCTAACTGGTGGAAACTGAGTCTGGTTTGGAGTTTTGTCTGAATACACACCCCAAGTGATCTTAAATGTGATATGACGTGGGAGAAAATCCCAGGGAGCTCTCATAGGAGGCCAAGTAGGACAATGAAATCTTTAGAACAAATCTCAAACTCTCATGGATAGATTTTGGACTAATAGGAACTTGGTCTTCATCCCCTTCCCTGTGTTTCACACAACCACGTGGATCACTGCTTCACCACATGTTATATTTTGGTCCATTTTATACCTTGTAATACAGTGTCCATTATCTACTTATAAAACAAAATATAATGTTCACCTTTTTCTTAAGACTTGCGCATTTCATCCCTGTTCATATGACAAACACAAATATTTTGTTAAGCACGTATAGAAAAATAATACTATAATACCTACGAAACTTTTCCATTGTATCCTTGATCATAAGTGTTTTCAGTTGTAACCCTCTAAACATTTGTGCCATCATAATTGTTCACAACTGAAACACCTTTAAATAAGTCCATTAAGTTAAGTCTTTTTAAATTGAGTACAACATATTGGTATTACTATATTGTGTAACTAAATTGTTATATGATCCTCTTAAAAAAAAAAAACTTAGTTCTATGATTATTTTCAAGAAGAATTTATATAAAAAAATTCACTTATTCTATCATAATGTTCTTTTAATTTAATAATTAAGACGAATTAATATTTTATATCATTATATTATTATAAATAATAATAATAATAAAAAGAATAATAATTATATATAATATAATTATATATAAAAATATTCTTTTTTATAACTTGTTATGAGAGAAAAAATATAAATTATATATATATATATATGATATTTTTCTCTAATTTTTTTAATTTTAATTTTTACTTTATCTTTTTGTTTGAATATAAAATAATAAATAAAAATAATAAAAATGATTTCTTACTGTTTTTTTAATTATACATTCTCTTTAGTTTTTCTTCTTAAAATTATATCTCTTATTTATTTGTTTATTTATAACCATTCTTAATTTTAAAAATATTTATATTTTAAAGTTAAAATGCACATTAAATGTTAATATATTAAATAAAAAACATAATAAAAATATGTTAATTTACTTTCTATATATCTAATATTTATAATTATATACAAAAGATATTTCTTTTCTAACCGCTATTTTGACAAACAGAAAACAAAATAAAGTATTATAATTTAAACAAAAAATAATTATTATGATTTATATATTTAAAAAAAGTAAAATGTAAGAAAAAGAGAAAAATATTTTAAAAAATTGATATATTTAAACATTAAAAAGATAAAATAAAATACAATAAAAATTTTAAAATAAATTAATTTAAAAAATTGGACTGATAAACATTTTAGTCCCTATATTTTCACTGGTATATATAATCTTTTTAAATTCAACTGTTCATATATATATATATATATATATATATATATATATATATATATATATATATATATATATATATATATATATATATATATATATATATATATATATATATATATATATATATATATGACATTAGTGTTGAATTTCAGTTCAAAATGGCATAATGTGAATAAGATTGATAAAGTTTTCAACTGTCACTATGGACCACATCTCAGTTCTCAAAAAACCTTGCTGACAGTTAACCTTGTAAGAAAAAAACATTAAAATACTCAATACATGAAATTATTTTAAAAACTAATTTTTATTTTATATTCTCAGAGTACTTTTCTATAATATATTTTTCAATTATTCTATTTTACAGTTTTCACTTTTCTCTTCTCTCTGTATCTTTAATTAAAAAAACTATTTAAAAAAGTGAACTACAATTAGTGTTATTATATGTGTTTTAATATAATATCTAAGGTATGAAATGGCCCTATCGCCAAACCAAGACATCATCACCATCATCTATTCATGCATGGTTTGAAAACCAGGAACTAAACCACATAATTTGAAGAATATAAAACACAGCAGGGAAGCTTTGAACCTTCCCCATGAATGATTATGGGAAGTTGCTGGTTGACAATGCAACGACTTAAAATAACACAAAGTCCAGCTCCTCCAAAAACCCTACTTAAGCCTTTTTCATTGTTCAGCATGCATCAATGGCTCTGTCTTTTTTCTTTCTCTTTTGCTTTCGGAGCCACACAAAGGCACAGGGTATAATAATAAGTGTTGTGTGTTTCCTTTTGGCGAGGATCGTGGAATTTGCTTCCATAATTGTCACTGATTTTGCCTGTGCTTGTGATTCCAAATCATTATAATCATTTGCACTCTTGGACCCAATCTCATAATTACGTGCATCGTCTCTGCTATTTTATCAAACACTTTTGAGTCAAAAGTTTTCAAACAAATCAACTAACAAAATCACCGAGTAAATTACCTCTCCTTTTCATTCCCTGCAGTGTACAACGTATACTATAAATCTTTTAAAACCAAGCAACTCATATGCAACAAATTTGAAGTTTGAACTTTCAACATCGTTCTCTTCTCTCTTTTTCAATCTCTATCATTTGCTGCTTAATTTTTTCAATAATTTTTTTATATATAAATCTTCCCCAAATTAATAAAATATGAATAAAGATGTAATATAAGAGTCATAATCCGAATCATCCAACTTGCTACGGGTTTAAAGAGATGAAAAAATTTAAAAATTTTAATTGAATTAAAATAAGCTCGTCTTATTAATCCACAACTTAAATGAGTTCAAGTCGTAGTAGATTGAACCGTTTTTTAATTTTGATATTTTAATTTATTCTTCTCACATGTAAATGTAAATTTGTGACAACAAAGAGTTAATCTACTTAATTTATCTATTTTAATGAATTAACCTACTTAGTTCACTTATTTTAATAATTTATATATATATATATATATATATATATATATATATATATATTTATTTGGATCCACACGAATCGAAGTAGATCGTAAAATTTTTACTCACCAAAAAATTATTGAAAATCTGAGTTAAAATTTTAGCTTGAACATAAAATTATATTTTCTAATATAATTATATGATTGACTTGTCACATTTGTAAAATATTCCTGTATTAATCTCCTTTAATAATACTCAACAATGATATTAAGAATTTATGATTCATATGGTAATTAGTTCAATCCAATACTATTGGAATAGGTGATAGATTTAATATTATGGATTTTTATATTAAAAATCTTATTTACAAAAATTTATAATTATAATGTTTCTACTTAAAAAGAGAGGTAAATCAATATAGAAAATAATTACATTACTGAAAATCTAAATATGAATTAAAATCTTAAATTGATTAAAAAAAATTATAAGTAAAAAAAATCATAATTTAATATTTTTAATTAATATCACGTTTTTTTATATAATTAATTTTATGGGATTTATAAGAATCTTTTTCTTTTAATCCTTCAATAAAAATAAATTATTTTTTAATACGAACCGCGATGAATCAATATTTGTGATGTGAGGTGGGTTTGGCCGCTATTATAACAGAAGAAGCAAGGTTGGAAAAGTAACGTGGAATTATGATTCATGTTGAAGGTCATCATCATGCATGCTAACTTCATATATTCCTCTCTTTTTATTCTCCCTTTTATTGAAAAGAAAAAGAAAAATCAAATTTACAAAAGAAAATTCCAATTATTGACATATATCATTTAAAGGTATGTTAATATATCCCAACATCGCATAACATGACCTTCATTGGAACTTTTCTAATCTCAGCTTTACCGTCTTTTTGTTCTTGAAATTTAATTTAATATAGCTCACTGAATAAGTAACTTTCGTTACATTTATTCAATAGCATCTTAATGATTTTATTTTAAAAAAGATGTGTAACTTGTGCTAAATAGTTTTTAAAATACACATTTGAAAGAAATAAAATCACTGATTAGAAATTATAGGAAGAAAAAACAATAATACAATTTAATCTAAAGTATTTATAGTAAATTTTGTATGTGCTATCATGGCCACTAAATTGTTTTGCGTGTCCACGCACATTGTGGTGAGTATGCACAATTTGCTATACGAGTGTTAGATAGAATAAATCCATCACTATTTGCTACGTGTTTAAACTAGTCACGAACCCTCCCACTTGTCAAGCACTTTAACCTTCTCGCTTTTCCTACAACAAAAAGTAAAGATGAAAATATGAGTCACGCATTCCTACTTTAGGAAGAAATTTAACTCAAATTCTCACACATTAAAATAGTATATATATATATATATATATATATATTTTTTTTATACAAGTAGAATAAACCTTTAGGTATCTTACTACCGTTGGTTCCACCCATTTTCAGTATATGATCAACATTGAATTTTTAAGTTTTTATTATGTTCCATTTCTAAAACTCAATAAAGATCAATGAAGTGGGTATATTTCGTTTTCTCCTCTTTCTCGTTAATACTTTGTTCAGATTAAACTGTAAATTTACTTGTATAATATTATATTTACTTGTATAATCCTTTACCAATAACCTTATGTTTAAAAAAATATATTTTCTTTACTTTTTTATATGAGAAAGGAATAATATTTTATTCAATTTCTACAATTTTATACATAGAAATACATGAAATATATGCATTTCTAAGCTTTTGAAAATAAATTGGACTAAGAATATAATATAAGAAACTTAATTTATGTAAGAATTAAGATTAATAATAATTTTAAAAATAATATTATAATAGATAAAATTTTAAGTTGAAAACAAAATTTTACTTTAATTTTATGATTTAATTTTCGTTTAAAAAATTATATAGGTTGTTTTATTTTAACTTATCGATAATTTTTAAAATATAAAATTATAATAAACAAATTTCAAAGCAAATAATATCTTAAATATATAAAAATAACCTTTCTATTATTATCATTTCAATCATAATATGGAAAGACTTATTTAAAATATTTTTTATTCTATCTTTATAACGATTTAAATCAATACAAATTTAAAATAATACAAATAACTTCATACGGAT